TGCTTTGAGTGACGGCACATATAATGGCACAGGTTTGTCTGAATATGGAACCCCTACTGTCGTATCAGAAACAACTAGTTCAGTCACTCATATTGCTGAGAACCCTACTACACGAAACACTACTCCTGATGAAGTTACTGTTCTTGATAAAGGTATTACTAATACTGAAAGCACGATCTCAGGCAAAAACATTTCTGTGAATGAGGATATTACTATTATATATACTACTTCAGGTGATACAACTTCTAGTATAAGTATGCCTACTGATGAAGACAACACATACATTGAAAATATTACGGTTGTTGAAAGTTTTCCATTTGGAGAAAACACTACTATTGGTAAAGACACTAGTAAGATAATTACAGATGAAATTACTACCTTTGGCTTGGTCATTTCTGTAGAGCAAAACACAACTCTTCTGAAGGAGGATACTACAGCATCTATAGACATTCATGATGAATACACTTCAAATAAAAGCATGATGCCTTATGAATTCACGAGTCCTTTTGAAGACACTAGTCAAGTTGATGTCACTACTTCTGGTAGAATCACTACTCCAGGCCAAAACTCTTCAAGCGAAGATGCTACCCTTGGTGCAGACACTTTTCCAAGTAAAAATGTTACAGGTGACAACAACTATTCTACTGAAGCTACTACTTTAGCTAAAGCCAATACTTTTGGTGAAGAGATCACTCAAGATCAAGTAACTAATACTTATGGAGTAGCTTTTTCTAGCGATGGCAATACCTTTGAGAAAGACACAACCTTTGATGATATCACTTCCGGTGCAGACACTTCTCGAAAAGAAACAGATTCAAGTGAAGACACCACGCCTGTTATGAATATTAGTTCAAAAGTAAACATATCTCCTACTGAAAGCACTACTCCGGCAGTTACAATAGCTGACCAATATGCTACTACAGTTACAGAAACAACTGGCCGAGTCACAGTTGCTGTTGAAGGACCTGCCCAAAACACGACAGATAAAGATACTAGTCTTAATAATGGTATTACTTATAATGATGAAATGACCAGCCCAGATGAAACCACTACTTTGGGTCACGTAACTGACGCTTCCGAAAGTAATACTCCTTTGAATGGGGATATTAATTCAGGGACAGATACAACCCGTAAAGAAAAGACTGCTTCTAGTGAGATCACCACTCCTGTAATGGGTAGTAGTCTAAGAGAAGACATAGCATTTGTTGCAAGCACAACTCCTGATGAAATGACAATAGCTAGCCAAGAGGCAAGTCGTTCTGAAGGAACTACTTTCAGTGGCGACACTTATAGTAGCACAGGCTTGACTGAACATAGAACCACTTCATTTATAGAAACGACTAGCCGAGTCACAAGGTACCCCAGTCCCGCTCAAAACACTACTCCAGACGAAGATTCTACTTTTAATAAAGGTATGACTTATAGTACTATACTCTATAATACTTCAACTGATAGAACCTGTAGTGAAGGTATGACACCTGATGTGGACATTGTCTATGTTGAACACCCGACAACTGTAGGATATATTGGTCTAGGAGAAAAGACTACTTTTGACTAATACATTAGAAAGGTAACTGCTCCTGATGGAATAAGTACTTCAAATATGATAATGTCACTTAAACAAAACATGACTGATGCTGATGCCAACACTCCCAGTGGGCATGATACTCCAGCTACAAAACTTTTCCTGATGAGCAAATTAGGGTTAAAATGAAGATTATATTTCTAGTGAAAACACTATCCTTGTTATCTGGGAAAACGCTACTGGTCTAAACACTAATTATAGAGAAAATAACACAACTAAAGACATTACACCTCATGATAACACTATTACTGAAATAAAATATACACGTGCAATTGATGCTACTGAGAAAGGAAGGAGTAAAATTCATATCATATACTCATATATATATATATATATATATATATATATATATATATATATATATATGTATATATTATGCATAATAAATATATGTCATTCATATGATACATATATGCATATATATGTAAGTATATATGTATCATATATATGCCTACTGTGAGTACTTGATTGATTGTTTTCACACATAGATGGCAACACTTGTACTAACTCACGAATGAGCCAGTTACGATTACTGCCTGTCTCGCCCGTTTACCCTTTTCTTTGATTTGCGAAAATATTTTACTTTATCTTATTTTGCTGTTACTGATGATTGTAACATTATAGTAATTATAATGTTTATGATAAAAATAACACCATCGATATTCATAGCACTAGCACCGCCAATTCAATTCATGTAAGGTCACAAGTTCTACTAATTGATTCAGTTATGGCTAAGCACGAGCAGAGCCATCTATGGGACATTTCACGAAAAAATAGAAAATGAATACAGCATTTCCCCCATTTATTCATTTCCCCGGCGCCATTGGGGTATATATGTATATGTATATGTGCACAAGAGTATATATGTATATGTATATGCGCTCACACACACACACAAACACACACACACACACA